TTCCCGGCGTTTCCCCTCTAGATTTAGGTTTGTCTTCACATCATAACCCAGTGTCAATAACAATGTTTCACACATTTAAGCTCTAAACAATATGATTATTATTCCAATCATGAGCAGGACTCATGGCAAGCAGCTCACTGTCTCCAAAACTTGCCTTTGAAGGCCGGCTGCACGGCCACCAGGGCTGTGATGTTAACTGTCAGTTACTGCACATAAGAGGGCCTATTTCCTGTGGCGACGAACACGACAGCCCCCCTTTTTGGCTGTCACTCTTCCCTCTCCTCCCCCTTGCTTCTTCTTCTTTCTTTTTTTTTTTTTTTTTTTTTTTTTTTTTTTTTTTTTTTTTACCCCACTCCTCGTTCCTCTCTTCTCCCCACCAACTCCTCCTCGTCCCTCCTTCTCTTGCGTCTCCCCTCCCTCCTTCCTCTCCACCACAGATCTGTTTCTCATTATCCTCTGTAGTCTGCTCTCTGTCTGAGTCAGGAGACGAAAAACTTAAATAAACACACTCTCTCAGGCTCTCTCCGCCTCGGTCCAGCTCCTTACCCCCCCCCCCCCCACCACCACCACCACCACCACCACCACCCCCCCTGCTCTCAGTCTCTCCCCTCTGTCCTCTTTCCTCGCCCTCCTCTGGTTCTCACAATCATCAGGCGTATGTTATACTGGAGTGTAACTGGGGGCTTGTTTCACTCTCCCTGTCATCCTCTTGGGGTTGTGTGGGCAGGCCTTGGATCCTGGACTGATCTCAAGATGTTACAGTCTGGTTGGGGAGAGGAAAAAGTGCTACCAGCAGGGCTGACGCAAGACTTTCTGAGGCCCTAAACAAGACTTTGACAAACCCTTCACCACCACCATCACTAAATCCCAAAATGGCACCAGGCCATCGGACTACAACATAATCCCGCAGTGAATGTTTGAATTATTAGTGGTAAAAAAAAAAAGAATTTTCAGATTTTTGGGGCCGGCTCCCTCTTGGCTAAATGTTCCTACCCAGCCATTTAGTTTGCTATTGACCATGACTGTTAGTTTCGATATAAATTTATAGGCTAGAATGTCCAAACTGAAGGGATCAGAAAGCTTCAAACAAAGTTTCAGGTCATCAAACTCCCCCAACAAACTTTCCAATCACAGAACCGGGGTTACTGCATCCGACAAACTGTGTGACTTTCTGAGACCGACAACCTGACAGCAGGTGTGTGTAGGGAAACTTCCACTGTCACCTCTTGTGTGCAAACAATTGCAACGCTATGAACACTATTTTCAGTAGAATAAACAGTTTACACTTATTTGATTGATTCTCGCCCCCTTCATGATTTAATTTATTTCAGGGATGCTGCATTCACAGAGGGGTGGTGTGACATGAAATACGATCCAGGAAGGCTGGTTCCAGGGGCAGATGGATAAGTATCAAGGCTTCTCAGACACTAAAACGAGGCAAAAAGTTGATAATACCATGAGATCGTACAACTCTGGAAAAATTATCGTGACTTTTTCATGCATCTTTTCAACTGCAAGGAAAACCGTACAAGTGCAACATTGATGCTACAAAGTAATCTACCAGCAATATGCTCTTGCATGTGTTTGATTGGCGACAACATCGCATTGTGTTGCGGCAAAAGCTTTGTCAAGTTCACGTCTTTTTTCTGGAGCCCTCTGCTTCAACACAGCATTCTCACCGGAATGAACGAGAAGCCTATAACACAGGCCACAGACAATCTAAAAGCACCGTCGATGTGGAAATAACTTACAGCCTCCGTTCAGCATGTTCAAGTAATTTTGTGGGAAAAAAATCTGTCCAGACCAAAGCACAAAACAATGGGGAAACTAAATCTAAAAGCAAAATCGTTTCCTCCTTCTTTTTTTGATTGGCAATTAACAAAAACGTACAGTCTCAGCTGGTTAAATCTTTGCTTTGTCCCTTCCTGCCCTTTATCATCACCTAGGTTAAACTGTGTTTCAGGAGAGCTGACCTCACAATTTATTACCACTCACGTATTGTTCTGTTTCTGTTGTCAGACAACTAATTACAAATTGTGATTTTAAATGCTACCTGTTAACCGGGTGAACAGTAATATTTCAAGTCACAAAAGCCGTTTGACAAATAACATGTGTTCATCACAACATCTGTGTTATGCGATAGGTCAAAATGAGCACATGCTGGTACTGTATGCACATTCTCAGTGGTTGTTCAAATACAGAGCGTTTCTAGAAATGGAAAGTTTTGGGGTGGGTGGGGGGTTGTGAAACTGTAGCGTTGAATGGCTAGTAAATTGTTTAAAGGACTGCTGCAATGTGATGGATGAGTGCAACACACAGGAGGAACTGCTGAGTGTCAAGTTTATGAGAGAAGGAGAAAACGAAAGGTATTGTTCTCGTGGATGTGTTGCCCTCATGTGGTGAAAGAGAGGAACGTTTTACTGGAACTTTCCTCAAAAGTCAGTTCTGCTTACATAGCCCGAGGACACGGATTATTGTTATCAGTGGAAAATCTTTTGTAACTTGATCCCTGACAGACTTATGTTCTCAGTCAGAGAGAGAGAGAGAGAGAGAGAGAGAGAGAGAGAGCCTGTAATGAATTATTTAACTCAAGTACATTTTGTGGTGGTATGATTCAACAGACACATAAAAAAAAAACCTACATTCTCCATAAAAAGTCATGCAACTTGTGCCAATGTTTTAAAAATACTAAATTAAATAAGTACTGACATGAATATATAAATTCACACTATTCCAAAACACAAAATGCTTGGAAATATTATTAAATATATAAGTATTTGATACAAAGTAAACAAAATCATGGAAAATAATAATGATATTTTTTTTCCATATATGTTTCGTATTAAGTAACACTTATTTGTCAAAACTATTTGCTATTTATAAGCGTGACTTCTAGAAGAGAGGGTTGTTTGCTGTTAAATAGTTTACATACAGGTCAAGCTACTAAGTAACTAATTCATATTTACTCACTTGTAGAATGTGAGACTAAAACTATTTCTCTTTGCAACTAATAATAGATTATACCCGCTATCTTTGGTGGAAAATAGTCTGTCAGGAACTAGAGCCAGGGCTGATGGGAATATCATTAGTTTTTAATGTATTTGGTCATAAAACAAAGTACTAGACAAGTTCATATTTGGTCAAATGATGGCGCTATTGAGGTACCTCTATGAAAACCACAAATGTGAACCTCCTGGTGGTGCTGAAGAAAAAGGCAGAAACATTAGGATTCATCATCTGGGGACTGTGGACATCATGAATGTCTAGTAGATTTGGGGATATTTGACAGGATACGTGATAGTTTTGATCTGTTGGAGGTGCTACAGGAAAAAACAAAAAAACAAATCAAAGATTACCAAAGTCACTAGAACTCAACTTCTGAGCACCATGAATGTGCGCAGCAAATTTCATGCCAACCCATACAACACTCGCTGGTATATCTCGGTAAATGCAAAAAGTGTCAACCTGCTACACGAAAAAGTCAGGAGATCACCGAAGTCAGTATGATTCACTCTCTGGAGACCATGAATGCCTTTAGAAAAAATTTCATCTGAATCTTTCCAACAGCTGTTGAGATATTTCAATCTGGACCAAAGTGGTGTGGGGGATTGATGCCAGGAAAGTAAACCACACCCTCCCTTTTCTCCCACTAGACGAGATGTGGCAAGAAGTGATAAAGTCTTAGACAAGTACAGAGTATTTTCTATAAACTACCTCAAAGAGTAATATTACTAACAGTACCGGGTGTATGTCTCTGGAAAACAAGCTACGTTAGTAATGCCCCAGAGGTAGTAGCCAAAGTCTGTGACTAAATATAATATTCATGTCAGTATATCAATCTATATCTATAATATAATATTCATGTCACTATATCAATCTATATCTATATCTTGTCCTTTGCTTTTTTTTTTTAAATCCCTTGGAAGATGCTGACTTCCACTGCTAGTACTGATGTCTTAATGTAGCACAACCAAGCATACACAACACAATGGTTGGATTATTACATTTTTAACCACTTTGTCCACTAAATAATCTTTGTAACTGTATAACATAGCTGTACTAATTTACCAACTTACAACATGTCCGGGACTGAGATGCTCTGGACTTATATTTTTAGCCACACTAGTTCTGAGGCACTATGTACAGTAAGTCAATGTCGGCCTGTCAGTCAGTCCACAGCTTTGGTCCAGACTGAGATATGCCTACAACCATAGGACAGACTGACACAAAACTGTTTACAGACATTCGCGATCTCCTGAAGAGGAATCCCAATAACTTTGACGACCCCCTGACTTTTAGTTCGAGCAGCTTTTGATAATGAACCATTTTAGTGTCATAATATTTGTAGTATGTGTTGAAAGTAGAAACTATTCCCTGGTATTTGATCAAACTGCTATAATGTGAGCAAGAATCCAAGAAGACATCAGACTGGGAATTACTCTCAAGTGTGATCTTAAACATTTCCTCAGAAAAATTTAAGTTCCATTTAAGCTTCTCTATGGCCAACAGATCACAGATAATTATCAGATAAAGTTGTTTGCCCCGTTCTTGTCTGTAAGTGTGAAGCTGCATTAATGTGAATGATGTCACTGAACAAGGGTGTGCATGTTTAGCAAACTTTAATTGGAAGGATGGAAGTCCTGGAGCTTCTTCTTTGTGGAAACCAACATTCCTGTAAGTGTTAGACTTGTATGAACTAGTGAGTTTTTGTGTGTGTCAACTAACTGTTCCTTCACATTATGCAAGAATTATTGACTCACAGAAAATGAAAAGTGCCTCTGGACACAGAAGATATAGATTTTAATACGTGATGCTGGGACATGTTTTCAAGAAGAATGCATTTTTGTTAACAAAAAAGTCCATTATGTATACAGTGATATAGCACAGACTCTTTCCACAAGATGCTCATATATAGAGAAGAATACCGAGCACTGAAGTCAATGAGCGTTTTAAGGAAGGACACACCTCTGTGCCTCCTTCTCTTGAACCACAGCATGTTGCAGCCTGTGAGGGAGGATGTGATTCAGTTTGTAATGGGCTGAGCTAACAGAGACAAGGAAGAAGAGAAACACTGTAAGAGCTGGACAGAGCAGAGAGCAGCAGTGGGATATTTGAATCTGACACACATCACAGAGAGAGACATCAAGTTCCAGGAAAGGTCAGTCACTCTTGAACTTCTCAATACCTTGATTTTCAACTTCTTATTGACGTTTTGCTTCAGTCGTTCAGATTTTTCTCCATTTCCATTTTCTATCTTAAAATAATAATTGACTTTTCTTGACTTGATTATTTACACATAGCAGAGTTATTACAAATCTGTGACTCATTATCTTAATACTTGTGGACTAAAGGCTAATCCATCATTCTTACTTTACTGGCAAACAGAGTTTTGGGCAGGAACAAGCGGTTTGCGGAGTCATGTTAATTTTCAGACTTTTTTAAAAAATGTCTCAAGTTTTGTTTTGTTGACTTTGCTGTAATTTACAGTAAAAGTACCATGACTTTATTCCCATTTATCAGTTTCTCTTGCACATACTTTTACAGTCCTTTTTCCAACTTTTTTTTTCTTCTTCCTGCACTGTCCATTACAACAGTATGTTTATGTGGTATATCCATTGCAATATTAGGTCATAAATTGCGGATTCTTGTGTGTTTTCCTGATCTGACAGTTAGCACGGTCGCCTCTTGGTTGGAAAAGATTCAGGACACCTGGTTTTATGAAAAACTTCAGTTTTCTTGTAAAGCTGTAATTCCTGAGACACAGTGCTTTCACCTGACAGCATCATTGTGTTGCTTAGACTGGGCTTTCTGTTGCATTTCTCTCCAGTGATGTAAGCCTGGCATTGATTCACGATGTTTACTCGTTCAATCTCGTATAAAGCTATAAGGGGAAAATAAACAGTTGGCTTTAGCGGGACCAGAGCAAAGGAATTATGACTTAAACAGGAAATAAAAACTTGATGATGTTCTCACATGGGTTAAACACGGTTTTGGGTTTATCATACTGTGATATGAAAAGTTTCTGAACCAATGACTGTCTCTCTGTATCAATCACGTCTAATATTTCTATTATGATCGGCATATACAAGTCAGGGATACATACAGGGATGTGTTTTTCATTAAAGGTCAACCTTCTGTGACCCCTGCACTCTGTGGGACAAGTTTCCATGTGAAAGGACAGTGAGAAAGACTCCAAAGAAAAGAGAGAAACTAGGACAAGAAACAACAACAACAAAAAAATAAATAAAAAATCGAAGTGAATCAAAGATGCTCTGGTTTGACGCAGTACTGCAAATGTTTGGCATGTCATAGCATGCTGCCTCTATATTCGAGCTACACTGTTGGCTGCATGGTCTGTTGTGAATATTTTAGAGGCTGCGTCAGGGTGGCGGCTAGAATTAGTGGGCAAATGTCTCTTCAGTTTCTGTTTCACTATATTTCCTAGAATGTAGCAATCTTTGACAAGTAAGCATGCTCAGACATCTGACAATTAAGATTCGATCAGATTAAATTTAAAAGTCTATATTGTCCTCGAGGGGCAATTTGGTTTTCAACAGTAGTCTGTTTCTTTATCCCTTTTACCACATCTTGTCATCATTCACAGTTAGAAATCATTTCCTTCAAGAGGAAATAGATTTTGTACTGAATGTTCCTGTTAACTTTAAAGAAGAGTGATGCAATGTCAATTCTCATCACACACACACACACACACACACACACGTATCAGTGATATGTGAGGACAGTGAGAACAAAAGAGAAGAGAGCTCAGATTATCAGTCTCAACCATGGTCTCCACCTGCCTTTTTTCTTTTTTTTTTTTTTTTTTAAAAACAAACACTTTTTGTATATTGGTTGTGTGGTGTGTGTCTATACTTCATCATAGATATGATCAGTGTTGAAATCAGGTCCGTGCATCTGTTTGCATACACAGCAAAATCACTAGTGATGGTGAGGTTAGATAGTTATGTTTGCAAGACAAGAAACTGAAGGGGATATACTATCATGCCTACCAGCATCTGTCTGTTTATCTCTGCCCCAGTAATGCAGTGATAAATAGGTTATTAACAGAGGGAAGTAAAACTGGTTCCATGCAGAAGCCCATTTCTTCCACTTGTAAAAATAATCCACCATATTTGTGTGTGTTTTTTTTTACCTATTACCTAATTAGATGGTAAATCATAATTATAAGACAGTATGTCATAATTTTGCAAAGAATCTTTGGTATTTCAAGATTACAACAACTCATAATTATGAAATACAGATCTTATGATTCTGAGATAAAGTAAGAAATAAATATTCCTCATAATTATGAAAATTCAGTGAGCTTCCACTGAATGAGAATTTAGAAAGTTTATCAAACTTTTGATCTTGCTCACTCACCCCATCTATACTAAATGACTAGGATACTATATCCCATTTAGGTAACATTTGTATCTGTTAAGTATCAAATCCCTAAAAGAATAGTTAAACAATTTGAGAAATGTATTAAACACTAATTCCTCTAAAAACTAAATTACTAAGCTGCTAATAATAACTAATTATTGAATTTGACAGGTGTATTTTTTCACTTTGCACACAACCGAGGTAGCTTCCTTCTGTTAGCCTTCATGCCAGGCTAAGCTAATCACCTCCTTACTAAAACTCTGTACTTCACACACAGATATTGGAGTTATATGAATCTTCTCATCTCACTCTATTTAAGAAAGCAGATAAATGTTTTTTCTGCAGAGCTGACCAACTCTTACAGGACAGAAAGTGGTAAATTTGAGGGTGATGCTCAGCCCAGCTAAGCTAAGCTAAACTCACGACTAAATGCACTTAAAAACTGCACTTGGACTAGTCATGAGAAAGGCAACCACGAGTTTGTCAAACTCTGGATATTTAGAGAATATAGAAGAGTGCAATTGAAACCGAATTTTAATGCAAGACATAGTTGCAAGCTTTTGCAGTTATAAATAGTAGTAAACCATTAATAAAGGGTCAATTACTAATAGGTAAATGGATTCTGGTCCAGATGTCCTGCAGAACATTTCCAGGGGGCAGGCAGTCAAACAGTCCATTGGAGAGCTAAGGATTTTCCACAACCTGGCAACCCAAAAGTTGTTTTATTAATTACTTATCATTGATCTATAAAAGCATGTGTAAACAATTAAGAAAGCCATTAATTACAGCTCATGAATCTTCTATAAATGGTGCCTTATCAGAAAGTGATATTAATGTAATGTAAAACGAATGTGGTCTAATACAACAGTAGCCTACTGCAATAAATCCTGTCCTCATATCATCTTCAGTTTTTGATGAAAAGTGTGAGAGGTGTTGATTCGACTGTAAACTGGCAGCAGAGTGTAGATTAGCATCCTGTGTTAGGTTCTAACTTTGTCTCTCGTCCTCAAGGTGATCACTCCCCCAGCATGACACCGCCCACTTTTATCAACGTGACTAACAGAACAACTACCGAAAACCCTGAGGATGACAGTGTTGTGAGCAATGACTTCTCCACGACCATGGGTGCCCTCATCCTTGGCTTGGTCTTCCTCCTGGGCGTCCCTGGCAACTTCTTCATCGTCTGGAGCATCCTGGCACGCATCCGACGACGCTCAGTCACCACCATCCTCATCCTCAACCTGGCGTGCGCTGATGGATTCCTCATGATCCTCACCATCTTCTTCATTATATACCTGGCCATGCAGACATGGATCTTTGGTAACACCATGTGTAAAGGCATGTTCTACCTGTGCAACGCCAACATGTACGCGTCCATCTTTCTGATCACACTGATGAGTGTGCACAGGCTGGTGGCTGTGGTGTTTCCAAGGAGACTGTCCTCCATAGCCAGCAAGAAGATTGTGAGGAGGGTGATTGTAGCCATGTGGATACTGGTCGGGGTCATTTCTATTCCGTCACTGGTGTTTCGGGACGTGAGAGACGACACCGATGAGCGGGGTAAAATAAGACTGGTGTGCGCGCCCAATCACACCCTTCCTACACATGTAAGTAGACGATAGAGCTAACAACTATCATGTTATTAACCTAATTGTTTCCTTGACTAATCAATTAAATGTATGCGCAAAACTAGAACGTCTGAAGCTCTTTTATGCCAGCATGGACAAGGAGTTCAGTTAAGAACTTCTTCTTAAATCCTGATTTGAACTGTTACAATTCAACGACAAGTCCATCCGCTGATGATGATCATGAGATGTAATCAAAAGCTCCAGAAGGGGCAGTAAATTGACCTTGTGTTGAGACTGTTGGCCACTGCTGGCCACATCAAAGCAGCAGAAACAAGTTGTGAACACACTGACGAATCATCACCCTTAAGTTGATATTTTGCACATGTATTTACTTAGACATCCCAGAAGTTACAGAGCAACATTAGCATTCATTTAAAGTCATTTTTTCAGCCTTTTTTCACATTGTCATTTTTCACAATTAATTTGTATCATAACAACATTATCATATAGGGCTGAAAGATATGAAAAAAAGAGTCTCAGCTCACTGTTTCGCTGTCTGGTCCGTAACTTCATTTTTTTGTGCTGCAGACAGTAGAGAAAAAGCTAAAAACCCACTGTACCCTGCCTGCTCAGCACCAAACAGCAGACAGACACACTTAACAACTAGCTGCTGAACATAGTGGAGCTAGACATTTCCCTCAGGATGGTAGAGACCAAACCAGAGCTGAAACACACAGGTGTAATTAATCATTTTAATAAAGGCTGCATTACAGTTACGTGTTCCAGTTCTAGGCTCCTGGTATTGTGCAGGCAGGGCCACTGGCATCACTTACACTTACTAATCCAATTGTTAATGCTATCTGTTCCACCTGTGCTTTTCTGCCATGAGGTGCCAAAATGTTTGCAGAAAAAAAATATCTGTTGGACTTAAAGGTTCTGGAAACGATCACTAGGTGTCGCACTAGATCACCAGCATTTCAGACCAAAAACAAATGATCCGTCGACTACACTTTGACAGCTGGCCACCAACCGATAGCAACATTCACCGAACACATTCATAACATCGATAACAGCAAGTTAGCTAACTTTATCATGGCTACTGTAGCCTGACACGAATGAAAACACACAAAACAGTATGTAGCCAATAAGTTACTTACACACTGCAAAGAAAATCCAGTTCTGAGTGAAGTTGGAGCCCGTTAGCAGCTTGTGAGATTCAGCCACAGGAATGACTGTTGTGACGGTCCACCGACCCTACAGGGATTAGTCCCCACGGTCAGTCCATCAGTTCCCTGCCAGAGAACTTTTTGGACACAAATGTGGTTTCTTCAGTGAAGGAAATTCTGTAAGGTAGCTTTCACCTGAGGGCTGTGGACTGCACCGGTTATCGTGCTTGGGGGTGGTCCCTGTGTGTTTATAAATGAGGGGAGGGCCAACTGTTGGAATAGGAGCCAGTCACATGCACTTACATGAACGCGCCGCCGTCCTGGGTACTAAAACAAAAAGAACAAAGAACTTCTCTGCTCAGGACATTACTCCATATTTTTTGCATAGAAAATAGTTGTTTGTTGATATTTAACCTTTGCCATCAGAATAACTGAAAAAAAATACTACCATAGAACAATGCTACATATATTAACTTTGTTTCTTTCCTTTGCTACTTTGTTTAATCTTTCTTTCTTGAATGAACACATAAAGATGTGTTAAAGTATGTTTTTCATGCTTCTGTATGGGTGGAACAAACAAGTATTTCCATTGTTCAGTCATCTGCTGATTTAAAAAAAAAAAAAAAAAAAAATGTAAGCAATTTATCACTTGGTTTTATGAAATGACCAAAAAATAGTGGAAAAAAATGGAAATCACAATTTCTTGTTGTTTGAGGTGAAATCTTCAAATGTCTTGTTCGGTCTGACCAAAAGTTCAGTGGTTTTCAGCTTGCTATGATATACCACAAAGAGAAGCAGCCGATTCTTCCAGTTGAGAAGCTGGAAATGGACAAACTGTAACATTTTAAACAAACTACAACTACTCATTTCAACTCTTCTGACGTCTTGTTCTTTCTTGTTTTGACAGATCCATTCATGTCTGCTGAAACACACGTTATCGTTTTTGTGAGCACATCTGTTTTTCTATCCTCCCGTGTGCAGGTACGTTTTCAGTATGCCTTTGAGACAGTGACAGGATTCATCCTTCCTTACGCAATCATCATAACCAGCTACGTCCTCATCCTGAGACGCCTGAGGCAGACCAAGTTCCAGCGAAAGGTCCGCAGTGAGAAACTCATCCTGGCTATTGTGGTGATGTTTGGCGCTTTCTGGCTGCCGTACCACGTTGTCAACATGATACAGGTGTGTGAGGGCATGTTCGCGGTGTCGTTTATCACATGAAATCTGTTCACATTTCTGCATTTCTCAACAGTGTGACCCTTCGAATGAACACCATGTTTTTGTTTTGTGTAAGGTTGCGGCCGAGTGGTACGAAATTGGTTCGAGCACAAGAGAAGTGTGAGTAAAACAAAAGATTTTCACCTCTTGAACAAAATTATTTTCACTGACAGTTGGTACTTTTAGAGATTCACAAAACCAAGACTCTAAAATGTTATACATTATGTTTTGCCCAATGTCACACGGTTAGCTTTTGCACAATTATTGTTTGCAACATTCTTACAAGCACAAATGCAAACAACTCATCCTGTTTGGTTATGTATTTCTTAAACTAAATGCCTGTTGATCATTTTTTCATGGTTGATATGAAGATCAGTTGTTTTACTGAGAGAATTTCATGACTTTTAATATATTAAAAAACCTGTCTGGAAATTCTTATGAGGAATAAATTTTACTTTGTTGCCAACATTGTGAACACTAAAGCTTTTTATATTTGGCAAATTCAACAGTATTTGTAGTCATTTTGTGTTTCTTTGTAGTTTGTGGTTATTTCTTGTCCCTTGTTTTAGTTTTGTGTCTCTCTGTAGCCTTTTCGCTTCTGATTGTACTTGTTTTGTGTCTGTTTATAGTCGTGAGGTTACTTTGTGCCTCTTTGTGATCATTTTGTGTGTCTTTTTGGCCCCTTTGCAACTGTTTAGTGTTGTGTTTGTGTAGTCATTCAGTGATATTTTTTTAGGTGAAAGCCCCTTAACTTTGGGGCCCCTGGGCCTGTCCCAGTGAGCCTGTTGAGTAATCAATCCATGGATATACTGTATTTATACAGTATTTATTCATAATTTGAGAAGAAGATGTTTAAAGTTAAGCTCCCAACAATGCAGCCAAACTTCAACATCATTTTTCTCAATCCCTAAATATAGCATTTGTTTTAGTTGATGCTGTGGTCTGAAATGTCTCTGTTTATCTGCAGATTGGAACACATCTCGAAGTCCAGTCGTGCGGTGACCTCAGCTTTGGCTTTCATCAGCAGCTGCGCCAATCCCGTCCTCTACACCTTCGCTGGGAAGTCCTACATAAAGCAGAACGGCTTCGCCTTCATGGCTAAGCTCTTTGAGGGTATATCGGAACAAACAGGAAACAAAAAGAGTCGGTCCATGGGTAAAGACACTGTGGGAACCAGTATTGTTGATTCCAGCACAGGGTGTAACTCTGTACAAAATGGGAGATGAGGTTTGAATGAAACATGCCAAACTACATGTGGAGTGTGCAGATTTAGGTTAAAGCAAGATTTGAGCCTGATTTTGCTGTGCTTAAATACAGACAAACCCAAAGCACCAGCTCAGAGCTGAACATTCAAATTTTGTTTTGCGGATAGTTTGACTGGAAGTCGGTGGTCCAGCCACAAGAAATGATACTCTATGTACCTGACCTGTATATCAGAACTGTCATTTGTATTTTATTCCATTTTGTGGCACATACAGAGAATAACACTTGGAAAATGAAAACAATTTAAAATAACTAATAACTACAACATACAGTACAGTACCTTGGGAAGCAATTGCAAACTTTACTTTAAATCCTGCTCTTCAGCATTTATATGCAGTATGTAAATATTTCATAAATGGTTTACAACACAGTAAAATGTCATTTTACACAGCAATAAATGACATTTTCAGATATTTAGAATGTAGGGCTACAGTATTTGCCCACAATTATAACTATGGGCACATATTTTGTATTATTACCACTGTATTGTACTATATTGTCAGTTATGTTTGTACAGCAGCCTCCACTCTTGGGTGTCCACAGGAGTTATTGACAAATTAATTATATCTGCCTACTACATTATAGTGTCACACACTATTACAAGTTTTTTTTGTATTCTTATTTTTTATATTACCTAAAACTGCTAGATAGGGGAACTTAAAATGTTTCTGGCCCTTCAGAAAAATGACATGCATTTGCAACTTATCTGTACAGTCTTGTTTTAGGCCAAAGAGATTCCTCAACCACTTATTTTCTTTTAGCCAATCAGTACTACGAATTTCATCATAACACGAATGACACATTCACTCTTGAAATACTTGTCTTGGAGGGTAGATCACTTTTTCCTCTTTGAAGTGTCAATACCTGGACTATGACATGTTGCAAAAGTTCTGAACCAACTTTATGGGCAAACTGCCACCCAGTTTTCCACTAGACTGGGCAAGTGTACATAACATGATCGTAAATGAAATCTTGGAGGCACAAACTGTCTCCATTTTAATTTATTTTCTGTATGTCAGTTTGTCAATGAGAATTTAAGTTTTATCATTTCATATTTTGATTCAATTTCATAACACAGTAATGACAATTGTTACCAGTTGTCCACTGATGTATTGCTTTTAAAAGCACTGTACTACAAGTTTTTTTTTTTAATCCTCAAAGATTTTCTATTTATGCCTCTGATTTAGTGTTTTATTGTGCAAGTCAGACCTTTAAATGGTACCTCTGATTAGGATTTTACTTCTCTATACACAGTCAGAAGTTGCATTAATCGCATCTAAAAAAAATAAATAAAAATCAGCCAGCCTCACGATCTTTGAATGTAGATTGCACTAGATACCCAGCTTTGCACATAAAAGGTTAAAAATGTTAACCGCTTAAAGATTTGATACGTTTGCTCAGCTATGTTTTCATTGATGCCTAAAGCAGCTACATTTTTTCTATCATGACTGTCAATAAAGTGTTACTGTGCCACTTTTCAGGCTTACTAGTTACCAATATCCCACCAAACACCACACCCACACATTTCTCCACTTTACCACCTCTGATTTGCAAATGAATTCAATACACAGTTTAACACTTTCAGCTTTATTGAGCAATGAATTTCACAGTCCATACATTGTCACAAGATTACACTCAGTGGCCACTTTACTTCATTGTAGAGTATAATTCAATTCGTACAACATCTCTGCCATAATTTTTACATTTATGAAATTCTAAATGGACAGATTAATATCCCTGAAGTTTAACTGACCTGGTGTTACACTGTGATGATTAAGTGTTACCTTAATGTTTTGAGCAGTGTATATCCAGTACCGGCTCTGAAATCCAAAAAGAAAACACAACAGGTTAGTCTCAACTTGCAATATGATGAGCACCATACTACTATCTGTACTGTCAAACCCATCAGTGCAGTGAAAGAATAATCATGAGGTTCAGGTGAAACACGGACTCACATGCAACTCATCATCAAGGTTTGACTGTATAAAAGTGGCTTTGAGGTGCAGATCAGAAGTCCCCACAATAGCCCCCCCCCTCCCCCTGCAACGAGTGTAAATGATGCCTGGCAATATTACACTCAAGTCCTGCACAGCAGAACCAATTATCCCAAATTCGATCATTTCTGATTATTGACTAATGAATTAATTCTGAAACAGGCCACATTCTGCACAATGAGTACTACTCCCCTAAATATAAAGGAAAACATTGTACTATTTACACATTAGTCTGCAGATTCAAATACAATGTACTGTTAGAGATTAAACAAGTGGTTTCCATCCCGTTTGCCTTGCAACCCCCTTTTGAAAAAACAGTATGGAGTTGAGGCCCTTTGTCACATGCTTCAGATTTGAATTATCATTTCCGCTATAGATACATTTCCTGCAAATTCTCAGCAGATAGTTTCAACTAATTTATTGTTTAAGGCCCAAAGTGGAGCTAAAACTAGCTCACATTTCACAATAAGTTTAACAGAGTGCCTTTAAAATTGTACTTAAGTACAACACATGAGAAAATGTTCGTATTTTCTAACGGTGAAAGTAATTCATAAAATAGGCATTTAAACCCAGCACACCTGATGGTTCATTTAGATACTAATTTCGTCATTTTAACCCAAAGGCACCGTTTACTCGGATGCATCCTTCTATCTCCAGCTGTAAACTTCAGCTCATTAGTAACAGAAAAAAACCCCACGAGGTCGGCTGAAGCAGCAAGCTAACAATGATAATCTGTGCGGAAACAACCGCAACAAACAGCCACCGGCGGACACATAAATACACCAGCTGCAATGTTATCAAAGTAATTAGCTACAAATCGCCAACAAGTACCGTGGATGAAGCTTAACACGTGCTGGTTTCCATCTCTCCGCCGACACACGACCGACCTCCACCACCGCAACAAGGAAGAGAGGCCGCTAATGAGGCTGAGGCTCAATTTATCTCTTTATCAAAACCACGTGTTTGCTGTCCTTCGTCACAAAACAGCTTCCAGAAAACTTCCGGGTCTGCTGCAGAATAAAATAATTAAACTAATACTTATAATCTTTTGATCAAACATGCATTATAATCACTACATTTCATTCTCAGAGCAGTTTTATTCTAGTGACTGTGTCGGTATTAGTGAATTATAAAACTTATATCAACAAACATACGGATATCATTCAGCAGCTGGAGGGTCATTGCTGTGCACACAAACATGTTTCTAAACTAATAAAATATATACATAATTGATCAAATATACAAATAATTGTTAAAAATGTATCAAATAAAACATACACGATTGTCCTTCATAATATTGTTAGACCTTAGCTTTGGTGTTGTTGTACCTTATATTCCCCCCTTTTTGATTTATTGTGTATTTTGTTTGTAGCGTTTTGTTTGGTCTGTGATTATACTGGCAGCTGAATTTCCTTTATGTTATAGCTGTTTTTATCATGCTGTGAACCATTAACCAAACTGTACAAAAATATATCAATTAAAATGATTTACAATAAAACAGATAAATAAAAAAGATGTATTTATACTTATTAAATATATACACAATGAAGTAAAAATTCAACTTGATTAAGTAGATTACAGTTGTTGTCAGTTTTACATCTCTGATCCCTGAGTTCAAGGATGAATCACTGAATGGGCCGATCGAGCACAGGCCCAGGCCCCCCAAGGAGTCTGGGGGCCCCTGGATCAGAGCCTCATATGAACTGACATTAACATTTCTTGTTGGAAAGTCATTTAAGACTAAGAGACACAAAAATTAGTTTAAAAAAAAAAACATGCTAAACAACTACAAAGAGATGCAAAATAGGCACAAAGAGCGCAACATGAGTATGCCTTGACAAAAAATGATGATATAGAAATGCAAAATAACCCCATAAAGAGACAGAAAGAGAGTTTAATAGATGCAAAATGACCACACAGAGACAGTTAACGACCAAAAAGGTACACAAAAAGAGTATCAACAGACACAAAACAACTAAAAGTATTTACAAAAGAACCACAAGGGAAAACAAAACGACATAGATTCCCTAAATGAATACACGACTTTAGTAAGTAAATATTTAGAGACAACTGACTGCAGTTTAAATAAACCCGTGATTGAATGTCACCTGTTATTTTAAAACACATTCCCATATAGAGCTCCTTTTAAACTACAAAGTGACGTAACTGGTAGCAGAAGTTACGGAAATCCTCTTGGTCCAAAAGGGCTAAAACGCAACTCACTGACATAACACAGAGCGGTGCAGCCATAAAGATACGGTGTAACGTGCAACGACGTTGTTATTTAATTACGATTGGACTGTAATTCGGTGACCATGAGAGTCTTAATAGGTATGTACGTTTTCTAAAGAATTACATCTTTTTTTTTTTATAAAGTGGTTCGGAAAGGTCAATGTGACATAACGCTACCTGCTAGCTTTTAGCATTGCAATCGTAAAGGCATAAAGTGAGCCTTGTGCATCTAAGTTTCGTGTGCATTATGTTTACCCAGAAGATTACAGTAAAAACACCGTGCCAGCTATGTGATTAAACCTAGAAAACTGCCACCTCGTGGGTTAACTGTTAAACAAAGCTTAGATTGATAAAGTAATGCACAAGTCCTGTTTTGTAAGCATGTGCATTGCGCATGCGCACTGCTCTGGCTATCAGGCGCTTTCAATGTGACAATAGAAAGGATATTTACATTTAAAAATATACTGACAACTATTTCTATTATTTTGTGCGTCTCATTTGTATCAGTGAGAGTAGACTTAGCACCACAAACCACATCCTCTAAATCTGACCATTACTTTCATGAAGGTAGCATTTATCACAGGAGTGTGTGTTGTATTAGACGGCATTAGTTTTAAGTTTTAGTTTTAGTTAGGTGTACCTAAAGATTGATTTCAAGGTCCTCAGTATACAAAGGCCTTAATGGGCAAGGACCATGCTACATTGCTAACGCCCTGATTAACTATGTACCCTTGAGAACACTGAGGTCATCCACTGCTGCTTCATTGAAGGTTCCCAGCAACAGCCATAGGAAAATTGGGGATGCAGACTTTGACAGTTACAGCTATTCATTATTTTATCTAATTTTACATCAATGTTTTTGATGTTTTTCATTTTAGATTAATGCTTTTAACAATGTTCAGTTCATTTTATGTCTTTTCTTTTCATGTGAAGCACTTGGTGCATGTCGTCTCTTTATTATAAAGTACTTTGTGCTACATTTCTTGCATGAAAGGTGCTAAACAAATAAAGTTTAATATAATCATTATTATTATTATTATTAATGGAAACTGGTGTGTATAATATTTACTAATATTAGTAAGGAATATAACTTAATTTTCTCTCAGATCTATTGTAACTGATAACTGATGGATTCTATGTGCATCTTGTCTTCCTTGCAGGAGGGGGATCTGGTTTTGTGGGCCGTGAGCTGACTCGTCTGCTCAGAGATAAAGGTCACGAGGTCACAGTGATATCTCGCCAGCCTGGTCCAGGGAAAATAACATGGGTGTGATCTTTGTTTAATTCAGAGTAATGGTAAAACAGCAGGGAATGGGGTTCGTTTATGAGCTCCTGACTCACCTCTGTGACTAATGAGATACCATTAACTGTACTCATCTGTGCTCCTGCAGGGCGAATTGGAGTCCAGCGGCCTCCCACCTTGTGAAGGCGCCGTCAACTTGGCTGGAGAGAATCTCATGAACCCGCTGCGATGGTGAACAACTACAGATTTTCATTTCTCAGATCCTAAGCTGACCCATTCAAGTTGGTTGGTTTCATCTGACTAACAGTTAAAAACCCATATATATAGTTACTATCAAAATGCATATGATGAGGAAAAGTATAAATTCCTGAAATCTGAAAAGCTGGAACCAGCAAATGTACAGCACTTTTGCTTCCAAAAATGGACTAAAACATTAGTAGACTATCAACTAATTGTTAAGCTCTAAAAATAAGCAGAGCCTGAGTGACAACCCCATATAGCTGCACTGTTAAACATGTAGTGTTAATCACAGCTTGGATTTTCTCAGTAACTAACACAAATAGATGTTTATTGTAGCTGGATTTCAATCTGCTGATCTGTTGTTACTTTTGCTTCCAGGTGGAACGAAAGCTATAAAAAAGATTTGTTCTCCAGTCGCATTGATACTACAAAAGCTCTGGCTCAAGCCATTGCTGCCTCCCCCAGCCCCCCTCACTCCTGGGTGCTGGTATCAGGTGTAGGTGAGTCTTTGCCTAATGACAAAAACTCAAAGTTCTCATATGCTGCTCGGAGCAAAGCTGTTGTAAATTTCCCTCTTTGATTTTTTTTTTTATGTCCACAGCTTGTTACCAACCCAGTCTGACAGCTAAGTACACAGAAGACAGTCAGTGGACACCATTTGACCTCCTCTCCAAACTCGTCAAAGAGTGGGAGGCCTCAGCACTTCTGCCTGAGACTGTGGCACAAAACACCAAGCAAGTCGTCATCAGGCCTGGTAAGTAGAAACTGCATTTTTACAGACTAAAAATTCTGAAAGTGAACATTAATGCCCATAAAGGGTTATTGCAACTTCAGAAAGTTTTACATTGTTTTCATGTTTATCAAAAACAGGCTGGTTTGTGACATGAGATTGACAGGAAAAGGTGTATTTCGGTGATTTCACCTTCTCTGGAAGGAGTTCTTGCTCACTGTCGTTTGAGAGTAGTTGATATATTGTTCTTAGATTTAAAAGTCTCATTTCTCTTATGTCCCAAATTTTGATTTGGTGTACCTGCAGGGTCTTGAGTGATTAGACTCTCCTGTTTGTCTGATATCATGGGTTTGACATTACAATAATCTACACAACCACATATTGGATGATTTCTGTTCTGATCTCATGTGCCACAATTGCCTAGAATGAGAAAAACTCTAGACAAAACATCAAAATAATAACATAAGCATTCATCCCCATGCAAAAACCTACAACCCTCCCTTGTGCTCTTTCATCCTATCTACCACCACCCCTCCTCCTTTCTTTGCAATTTCCCCCAAGGTTATCCATCAGATGACAAACACAATAACATTACACATAGTTTAATATTTTAATTAATTTAATGATTTCAGTCAACATAACTTTCAATTAAAGTAATTAAAAACCATAGTGAGTATCTACATCCAAAAACTGTTATTAATATTTCCTGTAAGATGATAACTGTACATCAGAAATATCAATAACTTCACTGTATCTTAGAAAAACAAGGAATCAAAAATTAAAAGTACTAAAAGTACTAAAAGTACTAAAAGGCGGTTTTGTATCGCTAATTTAAATACATTGCCTTGTTGTCCTTCCTCCCTCCCTCCACCAGGGGCAGTGCTGGGTCGCGATGGTGGCGCTATGAAGCAAATGCTGCTGCCCTTCTGGCTCGGCCTCGGGGGCACTCTGGGGTCAGGGAGCCAGCCGTTCCCATGGATCCACGTCTCGGACCTGGCAGGAATCATCGCCCACGCCCTGGAGCCCCCCACCGACACTCCCTCCCCTTCACAGCAGGTGTTTAATGGAGTCGCACCCGCGCTGAACACCAACTACGAGTTCACTAAAGAACTGGGCCGGGTTCTGAGGCGGCCCACCATTTTTCCCGTGCCAGGCTTCGTCATGAACGCCCTGATGGGCTCTGAGAGGGCGGTCGTCCTCACCCAGGGACAGAAAGTCGTACCACAGAGGACTTTAGAGGCTGGATTTCAGTACAAGTACCCGGACTTGAGCTCAGCCCTGAAGGAGATTGTTGGGAGTTAACAGATTTTAGAGGAACATGTGCTGACTTAATAAATTCTGTAAAGATGCCTTCATACTTACTGTATCATATATAAAACAAAAGAAACAAGGATCACAAATGGGTAGACGACACGTTTCTGTAAATCTCACATTCTTCAGATCTAAGGACTGCTCGGAAGATGTTTATGTGAGGATGCAATTGTTCAAGCTAAAATCTGTCTGACAGAGCAGGACGTCTTTGGCAAACCACTGAAACACACCTTCTTTGATCAATGCCCAAACCTCAGTGTAATCGTTTAAGCAATAGAAAGTAATGAAGATCAGTGGCTCTTGGCTTTTGGGATTCTTTCAATAAAGTGATGATATTTATCCAGATGGAGGAGAATACAGGTGAATGTCATGAGGTCCTTTTTCTCCATTTTGAGACATTTTACACTTCAAATTGAGGTCCAAGATGATGGTCTGTTAAAGGTGGTGCACAATAAGCTGGGTAAAGTACAGCAAGACAAAACTGTGACTTTTTATTGAAATAATCTTGATTACCACACAATAGCTGTTCAGTGAGTCAGTATTTTACCAGTTCCCGTAAGGAGGTGCAGTTGTTTTGTATCAGCTGATGATTCCTTGGAGGTCAGTCTTATCTCAGTTTTACGGTGTATTCCATTATCTCAGAAGTGTAAAAAAAAAAAAAAAATCACTTCCTCCCTGAATCATCACTCTGAATCACTCTGGACGTCTTCCTGGAAATTCTGAGTGACTGGCAGCCGATCTCCCCAGTCACTGCTGCGGGCACACCGGTACATATCTCTGATCAAAGAAAATGAAAATGCAATTTTCAGGCAAATCAAGAGAACCCATAATCGGAACAAAAAAGCAAGACAACGAATGTGATCGTAGCACAGGGCACTGCAAACTACCGAAAAGCAAACGCTGGCAGTGAATGTCAGGATAGATCCGCAGTTTTTATTTTTTTAACATATTCTTTGCTCAGCTAGTTAATCAAAATGTTAGACTGTTTAATTCAGGAAAACCTCTCGCATGTCTGCTTGTGTTTAAACAAGATGTAACATCTGAGAAGCTCGGCTTGAACTGGCATGTTTGTACCTGTGAACTCAGGTACTGTATTGGCACTACTATTATAAAAAAACCCAGGCTTAATGACCACTTGCATAAAAGTTTTCAAAGAAAACTGAAAGAAAAATATTGGTTTAAATCTAATATTCAATATTATCAATAAGATAGTGCTGTTGTACTTTCTTTGGACCTTCACACTGATTTAGAAAAGTGCAATGCCCCCCCCCTAATGTATCAGAAGAATGCTGCTGCTGATGATAATGGGGTTTTGACGGTATGTGTGGTGCAGGACCTTTACCTGCTGTGTTTTCGAGCCGTCACCACCGTGTGTTGTAGTTGTCCGTCGGTGCAGCACATCTGACAGTGGACGTGTCTCGTTCTGCGCAGCACCGGTGCGATCAGCCGGGCCCAGTCCACACCCTCTGTTTCTGCCTCCGCTGGTCCACTGCGACTCAGAATCAGGTAACTGAACTTCTCTATCTGACGGTCATTGTGCTGGAAAAAGGAAATAACTTTATCATAGCTGTATTACATACCCAGCCAAAAAAAAATAAATAAATAAAATGGGTAAATTTAGGAAAACAAATAAGTTAATAAAAATAAAAGAGGAAGAAATTTATATATATATAAATTTATCTTATCAATATTATTTTGTATAATAATTTTCTGGATCCTCTTTCATCTCATATCAAATAGTTTTGCTAGATTCCTCAGCATTTTATTTATTATCTCCATTTTGTAGATTTCATTTTTTTTTTATTTTCATAGAATTAATTTATATTTTCTGCCTTCTGCGAGTAACTGATACAACTGTGATTTAACCTGTAATTTAAATAAAACACACTTGTGCACAGTAAATAGGGTAGAGACATAAGCATGAGCGTGATGATACCCTGACTGAGCAAAGACAACAGCTCCGCCTACAGATGCTTTACACTTATTGACAGATTATTTGACAAATATACAAAAGTATGAAGAATCCTATATTAAGTTTTTTAAAAATTGCACCAAAACTTAACACCTTGAGTTAGGATTTATTTTGTCAAACTTTTTATTTTCTGAGGTCAAGAATGAATGAAGTTTCATGCTTGACGAACTGATGTTTGCTTTTAATTAAAGGAATACATGGAGTTTAGTCTCACCCCGGGCAGAGGCAGAGGTTGGTACAGCTGCTGGAAGTTGCAGGGGACGGTCAGCTTTCCGGCCAGTTTAGGACACATCAGTTCATGAGGACACTAGAAAACCCAAACAATAGAGAGAAGGTCCCATAAAGCCGCGACGCTCCTGACTGAAAGTATGGCAAGACAATTTTGAAAAGCAGCCGGGACTTAAACGTACTGGAGCAAACACTGAGGCTGGTCTGGAGTCATGGACCGTCTTCTCTTGTTTCTGGAGTTAAAAGAACTGTAAGTAAACAGTCTGATTCCAGTGTTATCAGCGTCAAGTCATCTCCACAACAGCACTTATCAAACACCCCTATCAGGATTTTAAAAGTGTCATCTTATCTACCGCATTTGAATACCTTTAATAAAGTGTCTCTGGCTTCCATTAGAATCTGATGGCCATCTTTGGTCCCATTTTCCACCAGCACCTGTAAAAAAAACAAAACAAAAAAAACAAAAAAAAAACACATATATAAATATCATTAAATAAGACAGGTACCAGAAAAGTTTTCAAGACAAATTGTAATGTATAAACAAAATGTCTCCAACTTAGTATATATTTCACTTACTCTGCAATGATAGAAAACTGACAGTAAACTACACATCATCTAAACGACAAGTTTTGTCACTACTTCAACCAACCAGATACGAGCTCGTCTTTCTCCACAGAGTGAACACTGCCTCTTCTCGCTCCTTCGCATTGGGAAGCTCTGACAGGGTAAAAGCCGCGACCACCAAATCAAACTGCACCTGAAAGAAGGAACGCAGCACTATCACGGCTCCTTGTCCCCAAGCTGTGGAAACTAGCACTGCTCTGACTAACAACCTGGTTTGTCATTTATTTATTCAAATAAATTAAAATAAATAAATACAAATGGGTTTGGAAGCACAAAAAACAAATCATGTGTTTGAGGGATTTTTGTTGAGAAAGATCACCACTGCACCATCAGAAATAGCAACAGTTTCTTAGTCACTCCAGCTGCCATTATCATACATATTAGATGCATCTGGGTAATAATGACTGTAGACGAACGATTCATGTGTCTTGGTGTGATCATTCAGAAAGAAGGAAAGAAGTGTCTATTTTGTCACATATACAGCAAGAATCTGAGTCTGAATAAATTGAAAGCTAGAACATATGTGTTCTGAAGAAACTCGCTGAAAACAGAATGGGTTTTTTCTGCTGCTGAAATAAAAACAGAGGGCGTACTTGCCTTAGGAGAGACAGGGAGGAACTGTCTGAAATAGACGTGTTTGATGAGAGGTTGAGCTCTTTCATCATCACCTGCTCAGCAACACACACACACACACACACACACACACAAAAAATGCCCCGATTGTCAGATTCAATATTTCACAAAAATGTAACAAATCTGAATTAAAATGACGTATTTGTGTGTCCACCTTTGAGAAGTCGTTCTGCCAGAATGTTCATTGGCCCAGAGCTGTCCACACACACCATCTCCTTCAAAGAGCCGGCCCAGCACGAGTGTGACGCCCTGCGGGAGAAAGAGAGAGAGAGAGGCTGAATTTATAGTCTTGTAAAACATGAAAACTCTCTTTATGTGTTGTACACTAACCAGACAACTGTCCCCAGCCCCGAACCGAAATCCAGGAGGGACTGAGGGGCAAAAGAGAGATCCCTCTTCTTTATCTGGAATGATAGAAAAACATCATCATCTAGGACATAAAATGCCAGAAATTTGACCTACCAACACATTCATTTGTTTTATCCTCCTTTATTTTGTCATTTTTCAAAGTTTTACCACTTTAAGTGTAAAAAACTGTTTTAGTGCGATGTGGGTGAACTGACTCTTAAAGAGAAGCCCTGGCATCATCATGTGGGTTAACCTTATATCCTCACCACGTGCTCGTACCTCATTCAGAGCTCTCCTCACAGCCGCGTAGCCTCCGGCCAGCCGAGCCGCCATGTACACCACGCCTGACTCTTCATCATACCTGAAACACAGACAGTGAGCTGTATATAAACGCATCTACATCTCAAGGCTCAAACAAGAGAAATCACCAGTTACTAGTTCCATGTAATGTACCCATAAACCTGTCGCTCCATCTCTGGCTTTGTTTGAAGCCTGATTCACTGGCATCACATTGTTATGCTTTGAAAGTCAATTTCAAGACTTTAGAGTCAACACGATAACAAAAACAAAATCAGTTTTGGTTTACCTTAAGGCTATAAAAATGTTTAAAGTTTTAAATATTTATCAGAACTTGCGCATATCAGATCTATATCTTGTGTACATAAGCTGTATAAAAGGATGCTCTTCCTCCACTTGAAAATTTGTGGATCGAGCAGGGAGCATTTGTGAGCACACCAATAATTTGATAAAGACAATAAATTAATTGATGTTCTCCATTTATCAAAGAAAGTGTAGATAAAAGCAACTGTTACTTCATGGGGGTCCAGTGATACGTTGTTCTTCTGAGCTCTGAAAACACTTTCCTCCTGATTCGGTCTTCCAGCGCTTCCTCATCTATATCTGCAATGTAAAGCACGTTTCCTTTTCCTCCAGCTGCTGCATCATACAATCTCTTTACAGTTGATACAATCCTCTTTCAGTTTTGGATTTATACGGCATGTCACACCCACCTCCTCTCTTCTCCATCGCTTTCTCCCAAAGCTCTTTCTCCAGGCTCACAGCTTTCTTTCGCAGAGTCACATCCTCAACTGCTCGTTTTCTGCTCCACAGTAAGTTTGTGAGCTTGCGAGTGCGTTCAGTCAGCCGAAGCACCTGAGCACCTACAGGCGGAGGGATTCAAGAGTCGCACAGCATTTTGACCATATTCATTTAAGGACCAGTGATGCTGCAGAAATATTTGGCATATCAACTGATAGCCACAATCACAAGTAAACTTACTGTGAATAATGGACCGTGCAGCCGTCTGGAGTTCCTCAGGTAGGTGCAGAGTTTTCAGGTTGGTCACACCTGGGTGCTTCCTGTGCGGTTCTCCTTTTAGGAAATCTACCTGAGACTGTGGTTGGGCAGCAGTGCTCATTCCCTAAGGATAAATAAAGAAACTCTTTAAATTGTAGTGAGTTGATAGTATCCAACCTCCTTCAGGTCTAAGATTAAAGCAAACTAATATACAAGAGAGACCAATTGATTTGGTATTCGATTTAAAATCTGTACTCCATTTAAACCCATTTTATTTCTGATTTCTTCACTTATTAACTAGGATTTGTGGCCACTTTATCTATACACATTTTTGGGTGTATACTCATATTCTTTTCAATACATATACTGTATTAAATGAAGTTATCTGTATTACCCACACATACACCTGCATATGAAGACTAGTAGATTACTAAAATCAACAGCACAATTCCAAAAAACTCACCAACAAAATTATGTCATTGTGTTTCTGAAGATTGTTTTTTTTTGATCGATTATATCTTTAGTTAGTTGTTCAGTGACTGGATTCAGCAGATACACATCGTTTTAACAAATAACTGATTCAGACTGTGAAGTTGTTTTTTTGCACTCAAATGTACATAAATAAATACGCAGACTAGGAGCTGAAAGGGTAAGAAGATGTTTCTCGACGCCAGCCTTTCAAATGGTGTCACATTAAACAGAGAAAACATAAATGTATTTAAAAAAAGACAGTTGATAGATTAATGAATAAGAATATTATGTTAAATGCCCTGAACGTGACAAATTGTTTATTTAATCCGTCCTGTTAGAGAGTTTACGTGTTTGACCTACATGGTAAAGATGCTGCGTTCCTTGACACTCACCCTGCACATCATCTTCAGGACTCCCGCTCTCTGGCAGAGGACACTGGCACTGTAGCTCCGTGATGCCATGTCCTTGGTGTCTGAACTGTATTTAAAAAGCTGTATTTTTAAATTTAACTTTCATCCACACCACGACGAGCACGGGAGCACCACATTAGCCTCTCACCAATCCTTCAACAAAATAACTCCGACCATGGCTTAAAGCGGAACCCTTGGTACCGAAGGTCTGTTCCCTGTTAAGAGGACATACAAGAGCGCTCACTCTGCGCTTATTTTCGGGCACAGTCGACGCTTTCCGATGTGTGTCTAACTTTTCATAGATTTCACATGGAAATTATATAGACTAAAATAAGCGAAAGCCAAACCTAACGTTAGGATATTTGTGATTAACGTTAAACTGTGACGCTCAGCTTTGTGCTAAAACTGTTGCCAGGGTAACAACCCATTATGAGGGTGTAGCGCATGTGCGACAAAAATCTCTTTTTTTTTTTGTTTTTAAACCACTGAGTGATTCATCTTCATACAAAACGATCTTTAGCTGCACCGGCGAGGAAACGACAGAGGGGAAGTTTAAAGTTTGCCGCCGTGTCCGTCTGTTGTCACTGTGTTCCCTTTATTACTGTAAATAGCTAGTTATTTTTTCCATAAACTACAATGAGGCGAACAAGAGGGTCGAGAAATAAAAGTCAGGGTGCAGCAGAGAATGAAGAAGTCCGGTCTAAAACAGGTTTGTTTGCCGCTGGAAGGATGAGTTAGCTAGCTGTTGTGACTCTGCCACCTCTGCTCCCGGGACATGTCTGAACAGAACAGGAAAATTGATGTTATGTAACGTTTTTTAGTGACCTCGCAGTGCTGTTGTTGCAAAGCTTCAACCGAACCACCTGCGTTCTCCTGAGGGTGATATCTTGAAACCCAGGGGTGCACGTGGTAATATTATAAATACTGAAAATCCCATAAGCACCCAGTGCATGTTTATTAGGTAACTAAAACTAGTATCTAAGTACATTTACTCAAGTGCTGTACATTTTTGAAGTACATAAGTATTTTCATTTTATGCTACTATAGAGTTCAAATCGCTACATTTACTTAATATCTGTAGTTAATTTTCAGTTTACGTAAAGAAACATGATATGATAAGCTCATTACATACCACACATTATTTAAGACTAAACTTTTAATTATGTCCTCTTTCTAAAAAGCTGGGGCCCTTTGTCACATGTCTCAGATGTTTTCTACAGAGGAGAGATCTCCCATTTAACTTCTCAGATGGTTTAATTGAAATTACTTTTTCAGGCCCAAAGATGTCAAAATTAAATAATAATGATAATAATAACTTTATTTATACAGTACTTTTCAAAACAAAGTTATAAAGTGCTTTACATGGTTTTCAGCAGGATTACAACATTGAGAACTAGAAATTAGGAGGTAAAATTAGACAGTTAAATGATATAAAACAAACAAACAAAAAAAACAGACTAAAATACCCCAAATGTACCATAAAACAATAAATCAGATGGTGAAACAACAGCAGCAAAATCATAATTTCATGACCCCACAGTTTAATCTTGTGTCTGTACATACTAAAGTAGCAATGCTTGATGACTTTTGTTACTAATTAATAGTTATAGGTAATTTTGATTAATACATCAATCATTTACTCTTTAAAGTGCAAAATAAAGACAAATGGCAGGTACACTCTCTTGAAATTTAAGTATTCAGCTTGTTTTAGCACAAAGTTTTACACAACCCCCTTTCCCCTCTCTGTCTGTGATCAGTGTGGCAGTGGAAAGGAGATGAAGGACAGTGGGAACCGTACTCGCCTTCAGACTGCGCCTTGTTGGACTCCGCTGTCTCTTCAGGGAAAACCTCCGTCACTCTGACTCTGGGCTCTGGGGCGGCCTATGAAGTCGACCTGAAGAAGATGGTCCAGATTAATCCTGTCACAAAATACAAGAGGAAGATTCGCTCTCAGACAGTAAAACCAGGTGTGTGTGTGTGTGTTGTGTTAGGGCATATCTGACTGCCATTTTCCATCACAGCACCATTTTATTTTGTTATTTCAGATTATTGTCACTACATTTTTTTTGATGTGTATTTTTTGCACGCAGTAACTTAGCACTGTGGCAAAGAGCAGCAAAAATGATTACAATAACAAAATAATTGCCAGCATTTTGCATGTCACTAAATACAGTATCCACACTAAAAATGTTATATAAGCATGACTCATAGTGGTCAATAAATCGTTGTAAAAAAAGTTTTCTGCCAGTTTTCCCCGCTGATGTTTTATTAGATTATCTCTCCTTTGAACTTTGTAACTTTTTCAACAAAGATTTTATGTAGTAGTAGTCACAGTAGTATTATATGAAGTATATATTGTTTTTATTCAGTTTTTTAATAATATAGTTTAAATAAAAAATATGTATTTAAAGTGTTTCTCCTGTTCTCCTTTTGTCCAGAAAGTTTGAATGAAGCCGGTGAATCGACTGCTCACAATGGGAAGCCAGTTCAAGTTAAAGAGGAAGAGGAGGAGACAGAGGAGCAACCTGCAACTAAGAGGAGGAGAGGGCAGAGCAAGCGTCAGACTAAAACTAAAGAAATGCCCAAAGAAGAAATAAAAGGTAACGTGCCTCTAATTTTCATACATGTTGTATATGTCATACAATTATAAAGTGAAAAACGATTTGGCGGTTGTTGAGGGAGTGGTGACAAACATACCTCAGCAACTTTGGCAACGTCATCTAGGGGTTTCTTTATTTGCTGTTTCTAAACACATCAGTTTAAATAGGACAACAGGAAATGTTGTTACCCGTGTTTAATATTAGATGTTACTTGGCCTAAGTAATGTTTTCTTTCTGATCTTTGGATGTTGCACAGAGGTTGTGAGGACGGTGGTCATGAAGGGCAAAGCTCCAGTGGACTCTGAATGCAAAGCCAAACTCGGAAAGGTACAAATGTCCACACAAGATAGAGAGAGAAACTCATGGTTGGCATTGTTTCTGTTTGTGGTTTAACACCTGTTGGAGGGTTTTTTGCAAAGCATTGCTTCAATCACAGTTCCCCTTCTTAGCACGACACTGTTGGTTTATTATACACAAGCGTGTCACTATTCTTTTTAACGTAGGGTGTTAAATCAGTCAAAAATTGAACATGATTGCAGTTTAAATCTTTTAAATTCTTGTTCTACCAAGAGCTTGTCAGAAATGTACATTTCTTTGAAAAGGTCAAGTTAACACTCCATAGATAGGCAGTATAAAAAATACCACTGTGGTTATTGATATTTACTAAAAGCAGCCGTGTACATTGGAGGTTACTCAGGCTGAGTGTTTGATTCTCTCAGTTGTTGTTGTAGTCATTGCTCTGGGGATTTAATTAGCAATCATTATTATTTTTTAATAAAACAGCCATACCAACACAAACAGCTGGGGCTGCAACAATTGGTTGAATAATCAAATAATCAATTGAAACAAAAGTAATTTTGCAACTATTGTGATAATTGATTAATCATTTTAATGAAAATGTCAAATATGTGACCAACTGCAGCTTGTCATATATTAGGATTTACTGCTTTCCTTTGTCATATATGATGGTAAGTAAAATTTATTTTGTTTGCCCAACAAACAGTTTCAGGATGTCACTTTGGACTCTGGGAAGTTGTGATGGGTGTTTTTCATTGTTGTTGTTTTTATTTACATTTCATAGAAAACTGTTCACTGAAAAAACAATTCTTTTTAGAGCATTTCCCACCTTTAATCCTGTAATGTCCTTGTGTCTTTACCTATGAAAATGCACTTTGTTTCAAACACATAAAACAACACATGCGACATAAAGCATTAATACAACTGATTCTCTCTCTTTCAGGCTCATGTTTACAGTGAAGGAAATGATGTTTATGACGTGATGTTGAACCAGGTAACCAGCTAAAATGTTTTGTTACACTCAAAGCTGCAGTCTTTTTCTACATTGAGCAGTGCTGACTGACTAAAACAGTAATTGTGAATCATTTCAGAGACATTATGATCACAGCTTATCACCATGGTTTCAGATACTGATGATTTTAGACAAAAATTTATTCTACTAAGCTTCATGCATCTTAAAACCATACATACCATACATACGTTCATGTATGTATGGCATGAGATTCTTTATCGTTAACAATGCTGCTCCTGTGCTGGTTTTAAATGATATCTGAAAAACAGGAATTAAGTAAAGGCCTTAAAATTATCACATGAATTCTATTTGTGTTTTACATTTTGCTCTGTGGGAAAATGAAATGATTTTTAGGCTTGTGGCAAATAATTTCTTTCTTATTTTGCAGACAAATCTTCAGTTTAACAACAACAAATATTACCTGATCCAGCTGCTGGAAGATGACAACTCCAAGGTTTACAGTGTGTGGATGAGGTGGGGCAGAGGTGAGTTCACTATGTACTGATGATTCTTCCCACATTTGATATATGTAAATGTGTGTACTTATGCAGGAAATGAACACAAGTAAGCTCTTTTCTAAAACCTAAACTAACTGATGAACCGGCTCAATTTAATGTATTTGGGTGGTGTCTCCCTTCTTTCATCAGTGGGCAAAGTGGGTCAAAACAACCTCACAGCCTTTGGTGGAGATCTGCTGAAAGCAAAAGATGTCTTCAAGAAAAAGTGAGCTTGTTTCTCTGAAAAAATAGTTCCAGATGTCTCGCATAGATGTGGGCTCAGTGAAATTCTTGTCTGTTTTGCCACAGGTTCTTGGACAAGACCAAGAACGAGTGGGAACAGCGGGCGAGTTTTGAGAAGGTGGCTGGAAAATATGACATGGTGTTCATGGACTACAGCACTAATGAAAAGGTACGTTTAAAGATAAAGAACCAACAACTTCTTTGTAATTAGGACTTGACAATTCAGTGACAGGAATTTCCATCGAATCGAAGATAGGGTCTCTAGTTATGTACATAGATGTTATTTCACTGTTCCAGGAAGAGGAAAAGACCACAGTGGACACTGTACCCAAAAAGAAGACCTCCAAGCTGGATGTGAAGATCCAGTCTCTCCTAGAGCTCATCTGTGACCTTAAAGCCATGGAGGAGTGTGTGCTGGAGATGAAGTTTGACACCCGCAAAGCTCCTCTCGGTGAGTCTGACAGAATCAATCACAACAGAAATGTACTGTTATACTCTTTTAATTTCTACTAATAATAACATTCCCACATTTTGCTTTTAAGCTCAAGTTGTGCCATCTGACCACATGAGTAGATTCAGCTGGTGACAAACAAGTGATCAGTGTTTTCAAACCTCTTTCATTGTTGTGCTTCATATTTCAAATTCACAATTTTTTTTCTACCTGCAGGCAAACTGACCTCAGAGCAGATCCGTGCAGGCTACAGTGCACTGAAGAGAATCGAGGAGTGTCTGAAGAGGAAGGGCAGCAATCGTGAGCTGCTGGAGGCTTGCAACCAGTTCTACACCCGCATCCCTCATGACTTTGGGTAAAGAATACGTGGCTGCACAGTTAGAGGGGTGCACTAATGCTGCAGGGAAATTGATATCAGAGGGGTCACAGGTTTTCAAAATGTTTCACAAAGGTCTCTGTCTTGCTATAATTAAAATATGTAATTCTCCAGGTTGAAAACTCCCCCAGTCATCCACACAGAGGATGAGCTGAAGAAAAAAATTGCACTGCTGGAGGTAAAGGGGTTCTCCATTAATGTAAAGATTTTAGCAATTTCAGTTTGGTCTACACTTATTTTTTTATGTCTTCACTTAAATCTGTGGTCCACACTATGATATCTATTTATATTTTATCTGTATTATTTATTTTTCAGGCACTGAGTGACATCCAGATAGCAGTAAAAATGGTTCAGTCCAGTGAGGACGGTGACGAACATCCTCTGGACAGACAGTACCGCTCCCTCCAGTGCAAACTGAACCTTCTGGACCCCAGCACTCATGAGTACCAGGTCTGTGTGCCATAAATAAGCATCTAACCAGTTTAGTGAAATTTCAGCCATCGGACAGGGAGAGGAGTCCGTTGTAGAAAAGGCAAAGAGACACATTTCTCCACTGGCAGCTGCCTCAGTACACAAGAATGTGTATATGTGTCATATTTAAAACAATTTGTGTGACTGTAAATGTTCATGAACCACTGAGCTATGTTTACATGCCTTCAAGCAACATGTTTAGGGAAAACTCTCCCCTCATCTCCATGTTTTGAAGGTGATAGAAAAGTATCTGCAGTCCACTCACGCCCCCACCCATCGTGACTACTCCATGACCGTCCTTGACATCTTCTCAGTGGACAGAGACGGGGAGAGCAGCAGCTTCCTCTCACAGTTACACAACAGGTAATACAGGATCGATACCATTATCGGTTTATTTTGCCACAGATGTTGTGTGTTCTGTTAAAACACTTACTTTTAAATCTGCTTTGTTAGGTTCCAAATTTGCCCGTATAAAATGTGAAAATGATGCCAATACATTTTGTTTTTCATGAGAATGAACTCCTCTTCAAATAGCCTGCTGTTTGTGTCCGTTTGTCTGTCCTACCAGGACTCTGCTGTGGCATGGTTCCCGTCTGTCTAACTGGGTCGGCATCCTCAGTAAAGGGCTCAGAGTGGCTCCACCTGAAGCTCCTGTCACTGGTTACATGGTAGGATGGATGAGTGGATAGAAAAATACATCAATGATGCCTGTACTGTTTTTATGTCTGTCTCAAAACCAAGTTCTCAAGTAGAGTTCAAGTCAAAAATAAATAGAATAAATACATAACATTAAATGAATTTTGATAGTTATGTAACGAATAATAATGAACAAGTCATACATTCCAGTGTTTCCTCTGGGGGGGGGGCATACACAAATGACCAAATGAGCAGTTGACAGCAGATTTTACTTTCAAAACCTATTTATTGGCTGGCCAGTTGAATATGCTTTTATCGCTACCATTGAACTTTTACAATATATATCTCAGCCATATACAATGTCAAGAAAAATAAATACCTTTGGTTTGTGAAAAATAAATGTTACTTCAACTCTAACCAGTTGAAAATGTAAAAAGTAAAAAATAAATAAAACAATAACATTAAATAAATAAAAATAATAAATAAACATATAAAGATCAGCTAGATGGGGCTGTAGAGTCAGTGGCAAAGTTTGCACCCAGGCTCAGAGCACTTGATTTTCAGCGTTATATAGTTTACACTCACATCACATCTGATTACAAGTGTGAACATTAAAATACTATTTTTTACCTAACCATCATCATTTACGAGTCAGTAAAAGGCTTATGATAGGCTACCTGACTAGCGTCTTCTTCATCTGTTGTCTTTCTCTTCTTAGAGAAGTATCTGAACAAGCTCATCTGAAAATGCAGTCAGCAGTTAATACATAATGACGTGTAGATATTAGCTTAATGCTATCAATTAGTTTACCCAAGTTAGCGTCACTGAGTTGGCTAATAAGTCTACCTTTTCTCCGGTAGTTCGCTGCCTTATTCCTCACGACTACACTTCTCTGACTCTGACCTGGTGCCTGACGTGACGTCACTTTCAAGGCCGCGCTCTCGCGAGTAATTAACTCCAATAGGATCCCCCAGCCACCCCACTCCCTCCCTCCCCTCTCCTCCCCTCCCCCCGCTGTTGCGCTCATCATCACACAGGCTGTGCTGTGAAGGTGGAGAGATGTGGCGGTGGTGCATTTGCGATAATAAAAAAAAAAAAGAAAGAAATTTGAAGGCGTGGCGGCTATGATTTAGCAGTGGCGGGCCCCCACTGCTAAATGAATGTAGAGGAAACACTGCATTCTATGATTACAGTGACAGTTTAGGCGCTAAGACCCAGCGACTGCAATTTCTAGAAGGGAAAGTTCTATATTTTTCAACTGATGAAGATTGTACTTTGCACTTTGGAATAAGACACACATTCTTCACTATCTATAAACTCTATGGACTGTATCATTACAGCAATATTGTTTTTATTACATTGACAATAATTTCCCTGTTTTTCTTCCATCCAGTTTGGTAAAGGAATCTACTTTGCTGACATGTCGTCAAAGAGTGCCAACTACTGCTTTGCCAATCAGCACAATCATGTTGGACTGTTGCTGCTGTGCGAGGTGAGTTGACCGACTGTTTCCCGTGTCTCAGCTGCCAGTGGCTCTTAAATAGCTGGTAAAGAAAATGTAGGTCGTTGTCTGCACATTACATCCCATCACATATTTAGAGCAGGCGCAGGAAAACAGATTCAGTGGCTGAAAAAAGTATAGTGTCAGCACACTGGATTTTAACTTTGATTTTAATTTAATATAATTTTGCTGTGATGTGGCTGGTTAGTCTTTATATGAAGTCTATTTAAACATTGCATATTCAATTTGCTATAGCTTCATATTCCTCTTTCATAAATATATATGTATTTTATAACAAAAAAGACATTAATACATTTTTTGATACATTTTGTGGGATTTGTCTTCTTGTGATTCTTTCTTGATTTCTTAATTACACATCAGGTCACATGCTGAAGTACAGATATATGGTCTTTATATATATATAATGTACCTGGCTCTTTGTCAAGATGGCCATTTGCCTAATGAAGAACAAGTAGGGTCGATACATTTTTTTGGAGTTAAAATCCAGTGCGACATGATACTTCTTTCCTGGCAAAGGAAATTTCACAAAAAAAGTTGAACAAATCTTGCACATGTGTAAATGCTCTGTGTGATAAAAAATTGATCACAGATAAATGATGCACTTTAGCACTTTTGCCCATATTTACCTTCGTCATTTTCCAATTCTTTTCTCTTCTTTTGATTGTTGGATGTTTTATGAAAGAAACCTCCCCTCTTCGTGCAATTCACTGGGTGGCAGTGTTTCTGGGTGTTCAAGGTGTTTTACTCACCAATTGAACTCATTTCTGTGGTCATCTGATTGCATTTATCCAGCATCTATATATTTGTTTCTGTACATCTATCTATACTGTTGTGGTGCTTATACCTCATGAAGTATGAGCAGACTGAAACCTCAAAAATAGAGAGAGTTTTATTACTGCTAAAGACAATTTACCTGCCAAGCAAACAATGTTGCCATCCAGTATAACTTGTAAACTGTAATTAATTTGGGTGTGATCAATCTAAAGTTGTGTGTATTGGGCAAGTGTGTAAATCAGTGAACAAAGTGGCAACAAACAGCGTCTTTTTCCTCCAAAACTTATAAAGTAGATTTTCTTTTTGCAGGTCTCACACCTGCTCCTCATCACCTGTTTTTAGTAACATTTTGTCTCTTAAAGTTACTGTGGAAGGTAGACAGAGAAGCGTCCTGACTTATCGTCACAAGACAAACAGTGGTGCTCAGAGGTTTATTTCAGACCCCGTAGACCTGCCAATACAAGCCCACCTCTCATTAACAATAAAACCAACATGATTTGAATTGAATAGCACATTATGTGCTTGGCCCAGATGTGATGCAGCGCTGTTTCAGTGTCCCTGCTTTGTGTGTCTGTGTGTGGTTGCAGGTCGCTCTGGGAGACTGTAACGAGCTGGTCGATGCTGACTACGAGGCCAGCAGCCTGCCTGCTGGAAAACACAGCACCAAGGGCCTGGGACAGACCGGACCTGACTCCAAAAACTCTGTCACACTGTTAGTCTGTCTCATTACACGGATACATGTCATACAGGCCAAACATGGATTTAATTGTGCTCAGCTGTTACACCACAAAAATCATTCAGTTATCTGAGGGAGAGAGTTTGCAAAGAAAAAAATGCAGGTTGAAGAGCACAGAGAAAAGTGAACTAAAAGACAAGAATAAAAATACAACATTTGTAATGTTTTTGTTAGATATAGCAAAGTATATATATATATGTATGAGTAGGCCAATTATATTGAGCTGTGACAAATCTTTACTTATAGTTATCTGTTAAAACATTGATAGATAAACTATCATCACTGGTGTAGCGTGATGTCATGTGATGTGTACTATAAAGGTACATTAATTAAATTTCTAGTTTGCTATGTGGTCATGTTTGTAAAGGGTAGAAAAGTTTGATAAATCTGGGATGTTTCCAGCTATAATATCTATAATAACTTGATTAACTTCACAAAATAATGCGTATACTTTGGTTCTATTCCCCGTAACCATCAGTGTTTCATTAGAGACCCTTCTGCTCTTACAGAGCTTGGATAGATTATCCAAGCTCTTTTCTTTTATCTAAGTAGACGTGTTAGCTGAGGGTCATTTCAAGCACGCCATGGTTGGTTTTATTTCAGAAAGAGGTAGTTTGGAGTAAAACCACTTAAATGAAAATCAGGATACTAAATGCTTAACTCTGTTTGCTCTGCAGTGACTCACACACTAATGGAGTGACTTTGCTTTCTTCTGTGCTGCTTCTCCTCTGTGGATTTCACAGTCAGAGAAAACACAGTTTTATAGCATAGAACAGTATTTTATTTATTATTTAGCAACCTTAATAGACAATGGTAGCTATTTGTTTATGTTTCAGCTGGAGCCACTACAATTTTTTGATTAGTTGATTATTTGATTAGTTGATCAAAACCAAATTTGATTTTTTTTTTTAATTGAACTATTTTGATATGAGATATGTAATTGATTCAATCATATTGAAGCAACAATGACAAACATTTGATAATTTCAGGTTCTCAAATGTGAGAATTTGCTGCTTTTCATAGTCTTGTGTTGGAGTAAACTTTATATTTGTGGGAATTGCCTTGTGGTATGTTTTACAGTTAGAAGTAATGTGAGGGTAATGTAAGGGTGTCATTTGTACCTAATGTGCTATAACCATTAGAGTGTGAATATATCCACCTCTCTCTTTTTCTCAGGGATGGTGTCACAGTGCCAATGGGGCCTGGTGTGAAGACGGGGGTGGGTAAGAACAGCAGTTACTCCCTTCTCTACAACGAGTTTATCGTTTACAACCCTGCCCAAACGCGCATGAGGTACCTGCTGCGGATCCAGTTCAACTACTCTTCACTGTGGTGAGGCGGTACATAAACTGCTATTTATCGAGGGATTTGCTCATCAAGGAGCAGGGGTGATATATCACTTAGTCAGTTAGATACTGTATAGCTCTTGTTTGTGGGGATAGGATGCTGTAAGTGAACACACTGCTAGTACTAGATGGATAACAGAAATGTTTGCTTTCTCAGTGTTGTAGCTAAAATGATAAGTCAATTCATCAATTAGTCAATTGACAGAAAATTGTCACTCTTCAAGAAAAAATGCCAAAAATTATTCAAATGATCCAAATGTGAGTACTTGCCAGTTTTCATATCTTTTTCACATTGATTTTGATACATCACCTTAGGCTGGTTCAAAAATATATATAGCTGACATTTTTTTACTATTTTCTGACATTTATAAACAAAGGGATCAATGGATTAATCGAGAAAATAATTGACAGATTAATTGATAATGAAAATTACAGTTAGTTGCAGCCCTCCAAGTATGTTCACAGTCTTGGTTTGACAGACATAAAGTCTATACAACATACTCAATATGTAAAAGGTGAGTGGATAATTCAAGTAATAAAAACACCAACAGAACCGCTTCTACTTTTTCTAAAAGGTGAGGATGGATCTATGTGATATGAAGAAAAAAATGCATAACAGTTAGCACTGCTTTTTTTCTATGTTGCTTTATGTTGTGAATGTCCTCATATCAATTTAAATTGTATTGTATGTTGCATTTTGTGACACTTATTGCATTTTGGTTTTCTGGGTTAGGGTTAGGGCTTTGGTGCTGTATGCAACACAGACATAATGATCTGGAACTCCCTCAGGCAGGTTTGACATGAGCATTTATACTGAGTAACTGCCACAGTTTTTATGAATGTGTTTTATCAATGTCAGAAAAATAGAAATTGAAGGTTCTTGCTCATCAATAATTGCTGGGTCAAATGGGTCGACATGCAGACCCAAACAACAAATTCAGCACAAAAATGTCTCATATTATTTTTTATTTATGTAAAACGGAGACAAAAACAAGAGTCTATATAAACACTGATAATAATTTATTCATTGTTTGTCAATTAAATCAGGATGCAGTTACATGATAATAATAATAATAATAATAAAGGACATTTTCATTATGAGTACAGTTTGGTCTGTTTGTGTCTACATGTGTGTACAGTTTCACCTCCTCCCCAGTAGGTAGAGGAAGATGAGGACTATGTCGAGGTAGATCATGAGAGCAGCGTTGATGTATTCCTCAGGATCCAGACGGTAGCTCATCATCCCCATCATCAGCTGACAGTCGACCATCAGAAACTGAGATGGACAGACAGACAGGGAGGGAGAGGAGGAGACGATGATTTAGGACAGGGTGAGAACTAGTTAACTCTTTTATTTTAATGATAGGCCCTTTTCACATAGGACATTTTTAACATGTCACAGCGGGAAAAGCACAGGTATAAATTATAAAGTTAATGACAGATGAATTTCATGTTGCTACCTCAGCTTCAGGGTCCTGGTACTGTGCGTGCTGGCTCACACAGGTAGGAGTAGTCAGATCCTATACCACAGTTAACTAATACTCCATTACAACTTAAAGTTCTGCTTTTAAAACCTTAGACACAAAGGTTGTAACAGCAAAATGTACTTTTGAGTATTAAGAGTAATGGTGAGGTCCCTTTAAGAATTATATTTTATGTATAATATTTTAGTGGACTATTATCACTAATGTATTAATGTGTAAAACCAATATTAATAGTGGCTAACTTTTAACAACTTTTTATACTGCTGAGTAGATGTTTTCTATGTAAAATCTAACTAGTAACTACAACTGTAAAATAAATATAGTGGAGTCAAATGTATAACCTAATTCCCTCTGAAATGTAGTATTTTACTTTTCCTTCTAAGGTAACATGTCCGCTGGAAAAAAGAGGAGTTTCTATACTATATTGTGCAACTCTACATGACAGTGATGACACAAAAAATGAAGTGAAACTGCACTATGTTGCAAAGTGAACCTCACACTGGACTTCCTTTTTCTCACAGAAGCTTTAGCACCTGTTAGACCACCTCGATTTCAGTTTGAGGAGAGTATCTGCAAAACTTGAAATCAGTTCCTTCCAAAAAAAACGGCCTTAGAAGGTAGTGCTTCTCGCCTGCCATTGACAGTAACATTAGTTGTAACTTTTTCTCTAGCTGCAGTAGCTATAAACCAACCTATGAACCGGCCAAGTGTCAATTGTAGCAAAACCTTTGATTAATTTAAACAATTATTGACCATGAAAAAGTATTAAATTGCGTTCTATGTGTTCTATATATGCTATTAAAAAGGTCTGAAAAAGTCAGGACAACAAAAGAAGCTGTATCTTATATAAATGTGTTCCTTCTGTTTTATAATAATGGAAGTCTAGTTAATGTGTCATCCTTTTAGATAGTAGTATTATTATCACGGTATATGTTTTTCTTTTTTCCCCGTACCAGTGAATACAGCAGAGCTCCCAGACATCCGTAGAGGATATCAGTGATGTATGAGTAGTAGAAGGTGCAGAAGAATCCAAACATGATCAGGTCCACAGCCAGGATCAGCAATAACCAATAACAAATAGTGAAATCATAACGAGTCTGCAAATAACACAGAAACACATTAGTAATACATTTCATTGATACATTCTCTGTCCATTTATTGCAAATATGGCTGCTTTTATTTTTATCTTCCAACCACTGCATCAAAGTTCCTTAAAAATGAGAAAAAATTTCTTCTTTATATTTCGTTTTCTTTTGTAAAAATGTTCACATTTATTCTAACTACAGTACACTAGTCTTATAGCACAGACTCGAGTGACAGTCGACTAGTTATTAACTAATAGTTTCATCTCTACATTCACACTCTGCTTCTTCTGATACCATTTTCCAGTTGCTGCAACATGCATCAGTTTAATGTCAGATATGGACTTTCTTTAAAATAAAGAGTTGAGTGCAGAAACCTACAAAACTGAAAAGGAGACATATTGAAATGGAGCTCCTTGGCTGAGCTTGGTTGACTAACCTGTGCTGAGAAAGCAATGATTGCCAGAGAAATCGCCAGCGTTGTTCCCATAGTGATGACCACAGCAGTGGTGTTGTGGAAGGAGGCGATGGTTCCCACCATGTACGACAAGCTCAGAGTGACCACAACCTGTAGGCACAAAATTCAGTGTATTAAACACCACCATATCATTTGAATGTCTTTTTTTTTTTTTTTCTTTTACCTCGCTGGGTTATTATCATCCATGTCATCTATGTTCTTTTTTAAAATAATTATTGTCTTTACTGAAAACCACATTCAAGTGCAGACCATTGGCAGTGTATATTACAAAAACAGGAAGCGCCTCCTCAATGGCTTTGTGTGAATCTTATTAACACAGCTAAGGAGGAAACTGAGGTTTTCAGCTTTTCTCAAAAAGCATCCAAATGTCTAAGAGAGGTCTGCATTTAAATATATTTGTTCTTCTTATCTTTGTTATTATTTCAGTTTATTTGCTGTGTAATGCCAATATCGATATAAAATTTAAGATTTTTTTTTTTGCTCCTGTATTTTCAACACACCAGTCCCACAATGTTCCACGGGTGACGGCGACTGAAGGACTTGCAGCAGCTGAGGGTGATGGCCACCACAGCAAAGATGAAGAAAGAGCTCAGGTAGGCCCACAGGTTGGTCTGCACCGCGTCTTTGACCACGCTGGAGAAGGTGAACACACACACCACACTGAAGGTGAACAGCAGCTGGACAGTCAGGATGCAGAACACCTGCACAGGGAGAGAAAACAAGAATAGTGTTTATAAAAATGTATTACTAAATACGGAAAAAAGGGATCTAATAGGTGTATACAGATGCTTTCGTCAAATTCAACTCACAGTTTGATGTTGTCAAGTAATGTATAATGTTTTCAGTTTTTTAACTGAAATAGAAACCATTGATTTTAAAATAACACACGTGATTTGTGACCGTTTATGAATAGAAAAACACTGTCATGCGCAAACATTTACTAAGCTCATCAAACAACTTATTCAGAGAGAATGTGTGATTATTAATGTACTTGTCAGCATGCACGACACTTGAGTTAACGCTCCACAAACTCTTGTTGACTGAGTTGTTTTATCCTCACCCTAAAGTGAAACACTGAACCACAGGCTGCTTGCTTAATTGATGGTTTCTGAATCGAGGTGTTTAGAGTTTTGGCTCGAATTTGTGTGGGACAGTGGTTTTTGGCTTCTGACCCTTGAAAACAAAGTAATGTGTATTCACAGCTTGTTTTCACAGGTTGCATGTGTCTATGAATATTTTCTGCTATTGAGATTGATTCATTTTAATAGTTTTTAGAGGCCTGAGGAGGGTAAAAGTATTCATTCATTTACAGTAAAAAGCAAAGATTAGGTCGAAGTCTAGAAAAAACAATTTTGTGTTGCAGAAATATTTATTTTTTCTGCTTTCTTATCCTGTTAATCATCTTACACTCTCTGGAATTTTTCCTGCAACACTGAGGAGGATCCCCAAGTGAGGACGGGAAATTCCGGTGTAGAATAACGTTTCATGAAATAGCCCTCATGATGAGATGAACACACCAAATACTGTTTACCAGTAAAACATATTTCACAAAGATTATTTGTCACCAGTCATAATATGCTTTTTAAACACATGCAGATATTCCTGAAGTCAGTAGACAAAAAACTCACAACACAAACCTTTCTAACAAACGCTCTTCTCACTGTCTTGTCATCAAAAGCAGACGAGGCTATGAGGGGAGTCGTGTCTGACGGGGCGTCTGGGCTAATGTCGCTGAACGACTCATACGCAGTGCCGGGCTGAGAGATGCAAGTCGTCTCCGCTTTTGGTGGATAGTACATATCTGGGGCTGCAGAGTAGGGTGGAGGTTGCTGCCCTTGGTAGGAGTATGACGGTGGTGGTGAGGACACATCAGAGTCAGGAACGTACTGCATCTCTTTGCGTGCGATGGGGTCGGCTGTGTCCGACATTGTGGAGGAAACTGGGGGCCAAAGACAATGTTCAATCAATTACACATGTTGCTCAGTCAACTAATGGTTGCAGCTCTAATTACAGTAAATGTATGATTTGCTCATTAACTTTGGTATCTGAACTACTGAGAAGGATGTTTCCACTGGTCCATTTCAGTCACTGTTCTGTTTTAAAGATGGAAATTGCTGTAGTTGATATTCTCAACAAGGTGTAATACTGTGCAGTAAGTCCATGTTGTGGATTCATTCAGTCACTGATGATAAAAGAATGCAGATGGAGAACAAAACTCCACATTCTCCACATTTCCTGTCTTTTACTTTCAGTTCAACTTTTCAGTCACTGCCTGCCAGTGTGTACAAGCTTACATCAGGTCTGAATTTTTTAAACATAACCATATCCTTTGATTCACACACAAAAGAATCTGATGTACCCATAATTGTATCTAGATTTTACTGTAAGTGTGTGTGTGTGTTTTTTGGCAGATGTTTTAAGGTCTCCATCACTGAGACGTTTGCTGCCAGAGATCTCAAAACCAAAACTACATTATCTGCATGAGAACATATGTTGTGGGGGAATATGGTTAAACATATTGAACAGACACTTTAAAGAATTATCATTAACTAAATAATGTTTGCTGTCTTGTTGAAAGTCTACCAGTAAATAATACAAGCAAATGAAAATGTAGTAGGGTAAACAGAAGGGTATTTGTTTTCATATACAGTAGCTTAGTTCTGTCATAGAGAATAAAGAGAATGATCTTACCTTTTCTGCTGGATTACACTTGTGTCAGAGAACAACAGCTGTCCAACACAGGGCTGCGTGAGGAGGAGACACAAAATGTATGTCTGGTGTGGTGGTGGGTATCATTTCCTACTACTGACCTGTGGTGTAGTGTTTCACTTCCTTTAAGGTGATCCTGCCTGGCAGTGGTGAAGTCAGACTGTTTCTTAAGACCAGATCAAAGCATGTCAAAGGGCAGACTGGGAACTCCCGAAAAAAGATGGAGTAGGCCTACACTGTGGGCAGCATTTAAACTGAAATACCTCAGTATACCTAGCTTGCCAAATAGTGAGCCCGTCATCATTTATTAATGCCTTACCAGTTATAAATAATAATAACTTGTAGTAGGCATTAACTTGATCTTGCCAAATAGTGAGCCTGCATCAATGTATGCAAACTGCGTTATTACCTATTTATAATTGTATGTTTATGATTTGTAAAGTGTTAACAACCAAATGAACAACCTAATTATAAATTAGTTATGAATCCTTGATAAGGTGAGTGGTACCCTAATTTGTGTCTGTGAGTACTTGAACATTTTTAGGAACCATATTTGTGTCAGCTGTTGCCTAACAGGAATTGTTTACATATAAGTGTGCAATCTGTGTCCGCACAATGTCAGAGATACTGACATTAACGAGGGAAACCAAATTAAATGCTAGTTCTGCCTCTGTTGAGTCTGATCAACAGCGATGGCTCTGAAGATACTTCGGACCTTAGATCATTAATCACCACGGAAGAATAAAGACAGTGTGAAGTCTGCAGGGTCGACTTCGCCACAAGACCGGGCTCAAGGAAATCACGAAAAGGAGCACGAGAGAAGTTTGTATTGAGTTGGGCAAGATATAAAAGTTTGGCCCCATCAGAAGAACCCGGTGAGTTGTTTCCCTCTTACCGTCAACAAGTCTTGTGAAACTAACCGAGTTTTGAGCGCGAGGAAAGGCAGATAATTTCCTGCTTTCCATTTTTGCACGTCCATACCGTGATTGTAGCCCGCACATTGCTTTTTTTTGCATTCATACATTTATTCAATTACTGTGTTTATTATTATAACTATGTATATAACTATTTTATTGTCATTTTTACTTTTACTTTATTTTTACTTTTCTTACTTGATTCCTCTTTACCAACTCCTTTGACCAACTCAGCGTTGCGCAACTATCCTGTATAGGGAAGAAACAAAGCAACGTCCCCGGAGGGGATCAGTGACGTTTTTCTGATTCTGAAGCGCAAACAGTTATAGAATGAGATAACATAATCAGTAGTAGTGTTCAACAGTATAGAAATTGCCAAAGTTATTCTTATTTAATCATAAACCAATCAAACTATTACTTTAAATTATTTACAAATATTAGTTAATTACAAATAGAAGTTGTTTATTGATATTATTTCATAAAATAATATTAAAAGTTGTTCATGCCGCGTTCATTTGTTACACTGGATATTACACCACCCCTAATAAAGGTTATTGTGTGTCTGTCTCCAATGTCAGAGGTGTACTTCTGACACTGACTGAAGATGAGTGATCCTGGCTTCAATAATGAACCTGGACCCTCAAACACGTAAGTAAGACACTATGTATGCAGAACAGATTGCATATGAGTAGGGTTGGGATTTGATGGCACTTTATCCAGTCTACTTACTGAATCTGAATCTTATAATCAAATCTAAATAGTTTTTGCTTTCAGTTACAACTCAAAGGCTAAACAGAGACCTTTTGTTGGCTATGATGTCAGAAAAAGTTAAGTGTTGTCTTTCAGGTTGGCAGCTTGCAGCTCCAACTTGAAAATGAGCTGAGAAGCAGAAGATGAGAAATGACAAGAGTTTTCTATTTAAAAAGAGATGTGTTCATCTCCACAGAGAGAGGAAGAGGAGCGGTGTTTCTGTGGAGGAGCAGTTGTCCTGCTGTGCTTTGTGTCAGGACATCCTGAGGGATCCACTCCCTACCAGCTGTGGACACTGGTTCTGCAGACAGTGCATCACCTCATACGGGAACCAGACTGGTTCACCAGGAGACTCCTCTTGTCCCCAGTGTGGACAAAGATCCAGAACAAGACCTGGACTGCAAACAGCCAGTCAGACCAGCACTGTACAAAGTAAGACTATATCCGTCTGCTGATGTCATCATTTCTGAAAACAGGACTTGTTGTGTTGCAGTAATCACTTACCATGCTTATTTTTTTTCTCTGTTACCTCTCTCTCAGCTGACAGTGGTCTGCAGGAGGTTTTAGATGAACATAAGGTTATTCTACGCAGGAGCTGTGAACATGTGACTGAAGGAACTGGTGAAGCAGGAAGTGGAACCCTCCTCAACAGGATCTACACAGAGCTCTACATCACAGAGGGACAGAGTGAAGAGGTTAATACCCAACATGAGGTGAGGCAGCTTGAGACAACTTCCAAGATGGAGACTGTACATGACACTCCACTCAAGTGCCATGACATCTTTAACGCCTTACCTGAACAACAGAGACCCATCAGAGTGGTTCTGACAAAAGGTGTCGCTGGTGTTGGCAAAACTGTCTCAGTGCAGAAATTCAGTCTGGACTGGGCAGAGGGCTTGGAGAACCAACACATCAGTCTGCTGATTCTGCTTTCGTTCAGGGAGCTGAACTTAATCAGAGATGAGCAGCACAGTCTTCTCAGGCTGCTCCAGGTTTTCCATCCAACATTACAGAAGGTCACAGCAGAGCAGCTCGCTGTCTGTAAAGTTCTGTTCATCTTTGACGGCCTGGATGAAAGCAGACTGTCACTGGATTTCACCAACAGGGAGGTTGTGTCTGATGTCACACAAAAGTCATCAGCCAACGTGCTGCTGACAAATCTCATCCAGGGGAATCTGCTTCCCTCGGCTCTCGTCTGGATAACTTCCCGACCTGCAGCAGCCGGCCAGATCCCTCCTACGTGTGTTGACAGGGTGACAGAAGTACGAGGCTTCACTGACGCTCAGAAGGAGGAGTACTTCAGGAGGAGATTCAGCGATGAAGAGCAGTCCAGCAGAATCATCTCGCACATCAGGACATCCAGGAGCCTCCATATCATGTCTCAAGTCCCAGTCTTCTGCTGGATCATTGCTACAGTTCTGGAGCACATGTTGACCACAGACCAAAGAGGAGAGCTGCCCAAGACCCTGACTGACCTGTACTCACACTTCCTGCTGGTTCAGACAAAGAGGAAGAAGTTCAAATATGATGAGGGACATGAGACAAGTCCACAGGAGCTGATGGAGGCTGACAGGGAAGTTCTTCTGAAGCTGGGGAGGCTGGCCTTTGAACATCTGGAGAAAGGAAACATCATGTTCTACCAAGAAGACCTGGAGCAGTGTGGTCTTGATGTCACAGAGGCCTCGGTGTACTCAGGAGTCTGTACAGAGGTCTTCAAGAGAGAGAGTGTGATCTTCCAAAAAACAATCTACTGCTTTGTTCATCTGAGCATTCAGGAGTTCCTGGCTGCGGTCTACATGTTCCACTGTTACACCAACAGAAACACAGAGGTACTGAAGGCTTTCCTGGGAAAAGACTACAAACACAGTGACTCCAACTCAAAGTCTTCTCTCTGGAAGATTTCTAAGATTTTTGGAAACAAGGATAGCCGTCACCCATCTCTGGATGTCTTCCTGAGGAGAGCCATGGAGAAATCCCTTGAAAGTAACAATGGCCACCTGGACCTGTTTGTTCGCTTCCTTCATGGCCTCTCTCTGGAGTCCAACCAGAGAATCTTAGGAGGTCTGCTGGGTCAGACAAAGAACAGTCCAGAAATCACCCAGAGAGCCATCACCAACCTGAAGAAGATGAACAGAGATGATATCTCTCCTGACAGAAGCATCAACATCTTCCACTGTCTGATGGAGATGAACGACCACTCAATACAACAGGAGATACAAGAGTTCCTGAGGTCAGAGAACAGGTCAGAGAAGGAACTCTCTGAGATCCACTGCTCAGCTCTGGCCTACATGCTGCAGATGTCAGAGGAGGTTCTGGATGAGTTGGACCCGAAGAAGTACAACACATCACTGGAGGGACAACGGAGACTGATCCCAGCTGTGAGGAACTGCAGGAAGGCTCAGTGAGTCCTGAGTATTAGGATTACTGATTAGTAGATTAGATTAGTGCTTTTGTCACATTCAGATATACACAGTATTCAGTTATTCTCATGTTCCTTAGTTTTATGTCGCAGAAATTACAAGGTCATTTTCTATTTCTTTATTTGTAATAACTGTTTGATGCTACATTCACAATGGCAAGAAAACATATGTAAAACCCTTTTGGAATTTCCTAGTTCTCTCCATGATTTGGTCA